TTTTTTTTTTTTTTACTTACAGCTGCGCGACAGCCAGACAATGTTTTATGTATGAAGTATAATTATTACTATGGTAGACAAGCCGCCGGTAAATAACAAGCTTTTACAAAACTTTGGTCCTTTCGCTAGCTAGTTTTTAGTGGCGCGCGCACGTGTGTGCATGTGTGTGTGTGTGTGTGTGTGTGTGTGCGCGCGCCAGGTGAAAATCTCGCCGCTTGGTACACCTGAAATCTCTCCTGTAAGGCGGATGGATTTCGCAACGAATTTTTATCGCGCTACGAATCGGATCTAATATCCGAAAAAAAAGTGTTTCGATGAACATTAGGCAACCGCGAACCACTCTGGCTTTCATAGTCGTCGCATGACTACCTTTGGAGTTTCTCCTTTTATATTTCGCGTGTACGCAGAACTTTTGTGATGAATTTTTTTTTTCTTCTTTTTTGGCCCGGTTCGCTGAAACGATCGGAAAGTATAACTGCCTCCTTATTGGGCAGCGGCAGCTCTTCAATCACACGTTTGTCGTGTTCCGATCGATTTGGAAATTATCTCCCGCTCTGTTCTTCCAACGACCGGTGTTCAGATTTCCTTGAAAAGTGTGTCGAATTGCGTGTAAAAACCTCGTGCAATGATTCTTAGGCCTTAGGTAGATTTCATACGAAATTCACTATCGAATCATTATTCATTCGTTCGACAATCCGATGGCCGTTTATTTATTGCCGAGGCAGAATTTTATGCAAAAGCAAAATTGTGTAAATGTAAAATAGTTGAGCAATTGTTTTTTGCGAAGATTCAGGACTAAGTCAGCTCATAATTACATGTACTGTTGTTGATTCCAAAGTTAAAAATGTTGTCATTGAGCAAAAAAGTAATGAGATATATACGATGGATTGAAATAAACTTTGGCCAATCTTTTTTTTGTTATAATTAATTGGCCTGATATCTTCGTGCTAATAGCATGGTTTATCGATCGACAGGTATCACGATATTTCTATGCATCACGTCGTGTATCTGTCTCGTAACGTAATAATATAATGTGATGTAAATGTAAATCATTTCTGTCATTAACATAGAATTATAGATTTATTATATCGAGAAGAACAATAACAAAAAAAAAAAAATGATGAAATACAAATGATATTAACGACATTTAATATGAGCAAGCTTTGAATATTTAAGTTCAAGATTTAGCATGAATTTAACGTATAACATTGGTGAATGTTTTTGCAGGACGCGATATTATAATTGAAAGAGAAAATAACATTCCAGCGAGGACAATTGATCTCTTCTAGACTATTCAGGAATAAGAAAGAATAAATTTTCAATGTGTAAATGTTTATCAGACGTTTGAATAACAATATCCAAAACTTTGCCCTGCGGCAAATCACGTAGAAGAACAAAAATTGTAATTTTCTTTTCGGAAAATTTTAAGTGACTTGCTCAATATATTTTTCTTCCTATTTTTTGTTTTCTAGCTGCGTTTACTAATAATTCATGAATTATTTGAAACATCATAATTGTCACGATTCAAATTTAATGTTACAGGTTTCTTACTCTAAATAAAAATAAATATCTTTTAACAATTTACGCAACTTTTACACAATGTTTCACTTCGTTCTTAGCAGTAGTCAAAAATAAGGAAAGTGGAAGGCAGACAGCTATTTGTCAGATCACTATCTTCACACGTGGGCCACTGTTGTCCAAAAGTACGGGAAACCGGCTGTACAAGAACATTTGAATAATCCATTGCGTTCGTAAGGCACATTTCAAACGCTATTTCCTGCAACAAGGAAATTTAATTTCTATCACCTTTTGGCAAGGTTTAGATGTTATCCAACAGACAAACAAAAAGATTAATTTGCATGTTATGTGTTAAACTGGTTTTG